GTACTTTTGTGTGCTTTTGTGCACTGCACAGTCTGGCCCCTTTGTCATTGTTTGGGCCTCTGCCCTGTTGCCTTGTTGCCCATCTTTGGAAAGGTTTGTTATGACCCACTTGGCCTTTCCTTTCTGGTGCTTCGTCAGCTTCCAGCTCCACTTCTTCTCTTCTTTCTGCCTGTTAGTTTACCCTTCTGTTTCTTAGAGGAGAACAGAAGTAGATAAAGGTCTGTGACTTCTGGGAGGAGCTCCTTTTGGAATAAGGATTCCTGCTTGGAAAGCAGTGTGTGTAACCTTAATAAAAACATGTAGTTGTTCAATTGTGGGGAAGCTTAGTGCTGATTGAGAATAGTCTCCACATCTAGGATCGGAGAAAGAGACTATGAATATGTAGGGAAATAGGAGGATTCTCAGTGGAATTAAATGGGCGGTGGCACATTCTTCTGCAATGCACACAGGATTAGTTGAAGGTGCAGAGCTCAGAGTAAGAGTCTGGTATGTAAAGTAAAAGGCAGATCATGTTACAGGATATATAATATATACATCTAAAGATGATCTTATAGAAATTATCAAAACGGAATTCACCTGATTTTATTCCATATAGCAGTTCATACATATTTGTTCTCCCACCCCCAAAAGTGGCACACCCATTGCACGAGTTAATGAAGTTGATAAAGTTTGACTTCCTCACTTCACAGGGTGCATCCTCAACTTATTAATCTCTATGGAGTGAACACTGATGACCTGGAGAGTTTCCAAGCAACCTGCAGTTGCATATAGAAGGGACACACTGCAAGTTCGGTATTAAAGAATCCTTTTCTCACCTCTATGCGCAGCTTTCCAAGGTCCCAGTCTTTCACTCATCGAATTCAGTTGTTGTAGCGGAAGCTTAACTGGGATGTTTGTAATATTTCTGGTTTTAAATTTTTTATCAAGTTATATATTTTTATCAGGTTGTATTTAACTGTAAAGAAACTGTTAGGCTTAACAAGAAAAAATAAAAACTGATTATATTGGTCTCTTATAAATTTGGGGTCTGAGAAGTGTCCGTCAGAAGAAAATATTTGTTTTTCCTTCAAAATTGTTCTAGCTTTTGCAATAAATATAGTATGAGATACTTTTAAGTCTGCTGCCGCTATCAGTGTTGTCAGGTAACTCAGTTCAAATAGAGCTGGTGAGTGGAGGTATGGTACCGCCTCGTGCTGAAGAACGGTGACAGAATATAGATTTATTTATTTATTTTTTTGAATCAAGTACTTCCATTTCTAGGTATCATTTTTAATGTTGCCTTAATGTATTTGCTTTCAAATCGTTTCTAGTCAAACAGTAATACAAAAGAATATGCTGATGTCTTATATGGCTTTTCTTTGATGAAATGTATTTTAAAGACTACTCTTTGTACAAAATAAATATTGAAAAATATTTTATCTATCCCAGAACTGAAGTGATATTCAGTATAGTTTTTGCTGTTGCTGAGAATAAAGTTATGATAAATAACTTAGAGTTGACTTAAAATTTTTATAACTTCCTTATAGGGCATAAACATTTTTGACTGGCATTTTTTTTGTAACTTATTAAATATTTAATACAATTACTTGAGATGACAGCGAATTAAGACTCTATTCTTTCTGGGAACTGGCTTTCTCTGAGATGACGGAAATTAGCAGACCGACAAGTTTGTCCATCTGCAGGACCACAGGGATAATGAATGTTCTCCTGTTGACTTGTCTATGAATCGTTCAGAAGGCGGCTGACAAATAATGGCATGAAAGCTGCATTTTCCTGTGGCTAGAATGAGTTGCTTTAAGTTCTTTCTTTAGTAAGCAGTTGAATATAATGTGAAATGCAGTCATTTATGATTTTGTTACATCAAGGCACTAAGACTTTATATGGGAGCTATAGCTACTATTTTTTGTTTGATTTTAAATACTACTTGTGAAAAATTTTTATCTGTGATAAATACGCAAGACAAAGTACCGCTCCTAAAGTACTGCAGATGATTATTTGTCTCCTAAGAACAAGCTGTTACTTGTTGGAAATCTCATGCAGTTTCTGCGGGCAAACCTGGCCAGTAGTAAAGGCCAAACTGATAGACAATCAAACGCCTGCTTTGTAGGCAATTATTATAGGAATCTTACAGCTAGTTCTGCTCTTTGCACTGGAGTTCATGGCTGCAGAGTAGGATCAGAGTCACAGTGTCCTTTGGGCTGGACGAGGCCCCATCAGGGCTCTAGCCCAACCTCCTGCTCAGAGTGGGTCCAGCTATGAGATCAGATCTGGTCACTCAGGGCTTCATCCAGTCCGGCCTTGAAACCTCCAAGGGTGGAGATGACGCAATGTCTCTGCACCCCTGTTCCGATGCCTGGCTGTCCTCATGAGGAAAATGTTTTTCCTCATGTCTGGTTGGAACCTCTCACTTCAGTTTATACCCGTTGTCCAGGTTGCAGTCTCCAGTTAAACTACTATAATTGATACTATATCACATCAAATACTTTTAACATGTGTGCTGGTTTTGGCTGGAGTAATTTTCTCCACAGCAGCTAGTATGGGGCTATGTTTTGGATTTGTGCTGGAAACAGTGTTGATAACACAGGGATGTTTTCGTTACTGCTGAGCAGTGCTTACACAGAGTCAAGGCCTTTTCTGCCTCTCACCCCACCCCACCAGCAAGTAGGCTGGGGGTGCACAAGAAGCTGGGGGGGGACACAGCCGGGACAGCTGACCCCAGCTGACCAAAGGGATATCCCACACCATATGACGTCATGCTCAGCATATAAAGCTGGGGGAAGAAGAAGGAAGAGGGGGACGAACTCAGAGTGATGGTGTTTGTCTTCCCAAGTCACCGTTACATGTGATGGAGCCCTGCTTTCCTGGAGATGGCTGAACACCTGCCTGCCGAGGGGAAGTGGTGAATGAATTCCTTGTTCTGCTTTGCTTGCGTGTGCGGCTTTTGCTTTACCTGTTAAACTGTCTTTATCTCAACCCACGAGTTTTCTCACTTTTACTCTTCTGATTCTCTCCCCCATCCCACTGGGGGGGAGTGAGCAAGCAGCTGCGTGGGGCTTAGTTGCCAGCTGGGGTTAAACCATAGCACAGGTTAAGACAATTCAAACTAAACTTCCTAAAGTTGTCTAAGAAGGGTATTCCAGCTACATGGAGTAGATTTAACTGTTTTTGTTACGTAACTAAAAATTAGTAAAATAATTGAACTTGCAAAAGAGACAGCATTCACGTGCTTAACTTGTTGGGTTTCTTTTTAATAAAATGAAATTGTGTGATACTTTAACCTTGCCACCATCAGGACGTCGTACATTCATTTTTTTGTCAACCTGGTTTATAAAAGCTAATTGAGTTTTGCTTCATAGCCTAAGAACAGGCAGCCAACATTTACATGTTAATAATAAAATCTGAATAGGAAGGCAATTTCCAAGGCAACATTCTCACACGTACTGACTGACTTATGTAAACTATATTTCAAAGATACATAAAATGCTTTAGTTTCACTTCTTTGCCTTTTTTGTACTAAAAAGAATGTTAATACTTCTTCCAATACTTGAGGTATATTTTTCACAATATTCTGTAATGTCAAACTAATTTCTGTTCAAAGATATTTTGGTTAAAGTGCAAAAATTCACTAAAGCCTTTTGGAAGATAAGCATTTTGTGTATATTTTCAGACTTGCAAGAAAACATTTCATTCGTCAGATTTTATTTTGATTATTTTAAAAAACAGATACACATTCATGTGTCCTTGCACTGCAGAAGATTTTAGAAAATGTACTTTAGAGTGATCCACATCTTTGGCATCAAATGACGTGAAAGGAAATTACAAAATGGTCCCCGATACCTTTAAAATCTGTGGACAATGCGGCTTTTATGGCACCAACCACTCTACTAGCAAAAGCGCTTGTTGAAGGCACTCCGTATCGCTTTTGAGTCTCAGGCTAGTTCCCGTGTGATGGTGCAGCTTCAAAGTATATGTACGTGTTACATTTATTTCTCCTTGCAGTTCAGAGAGACATCAAAGGCAGGGCAAGAAAGGCCATATCGCATACTGCTGTTGCAATAAATTCAGCTATTGAAAAAGCTGTACATTGTCCATTTGTACTGGGGAGCAAAGTAACATTCCCCCCCCCCCCCCCCCTCCCCCCCTTCACCAAAGCTAGGTGGCAGTGCAAACTTATCTAGCTGAAGAAACTTCCTGTAGTAGCAGAGCAGTGGTTTGAACCATGTTTCTATTCAGTCATTTGCCTTTCCGCTGGGTGGCTTCTGAGGGTGTCTGTTTGGATGATATGTAGCTGAAAACTTCACAAGTAAACCCAAGCTAGCTCTCCAAATGACTTCCTTATTAAGTACTTTCAGGTAAAGGGTGGTACATCTAAAGATAAAATTTGGCCCAGTAAGGTTGGCATTTGGAGTCTTTTGGGTATGTGTTTCTCTGTTTTGTCATCATGTGAAGTCTTTTTTTTTTTTTTCTCCAGGTCCTGGAAGAATGCCAGTACTAAATACTACTATGCTAAGTACTATAGAAGAATCTTCAAATAAATAAAAATAAATACTTGCTTTAAAACCCCCCACATAGAAGTATTTCATTGGAGAAGTCCAAAACATCATGGCAGCAATATCTGAGGAAAGGATGAAACAACTAATTCTGTCACGCTTGCAAGTACCATGTTAAAGACGGCTACAAATTATGACCTCCAATATGTTACTCTTTCCACAGCTGAGAGGATTCTGTGCTGCATCTCCAGGCTACCCCACAGAATTCCCTGCTCTGAATCCACCTTTGACCTTCCTGGTTCTGGCTTGCCTGGGTGTCTAAGTCTCTGCAGTGTTGTGGCTGTGCCTGTGAAGCCAAAGCTTACGAGGTTACCTTCAGAAGCCCCAGAGAGCTTCTGATAGCCGTTTTCTACATCCATGCGCTCTACTTACAGTCCTTCTATTGGTTTAAGCTAATTTACCCTTGTAAAACTGCCAAATCAAGATGAGGGAGGATTTCTTCCTGAATGTCTAATCAAAAGATTATTGAAACTTGAAAATGAACAGAATAACTCACGCTAATGTGTTTGAGATCTTATTTTCCAGGATTGGCCAAATGTTACTACTTTCTAGAAATTCTTCTTTCCGGCAAATAATTCTTCTTCTCTTTATCGTTAGTGTTCTTCTGTCTGTTTGAAACCAGATAGATATACGGCATTTCAAATATTACTGTGAGACTTCAAAACAAACTGTTTTACCATTTTCATATTAGAAAACCAACAGTACTCTAAGGTGTAGTCCTCCGTAGAGTTCAAGGAAATAAAGTGTATTTTGTAAGAGCGAGTGAGCTCAAGACCAGTTTTCTTGTCACTGATGTTTCTCCTGGGAATTAACCTGAATCTTAAATTCTCCATTTTAAAATTAAACGTTTATTTGCCATCTTAGTCATCTTTGTTTCCACTTGTAAAACTCCAGCTGTCTCTTCTGTTCTTGTCTTGAGGGATGGGTTTGTACTGCCTTTTGAAAAAGCCAATCTGAAATACATAATTTTGGAATCTGTTGTCAGCAGTTCTTTGTTATCAAATCTAAACCATAAAAGATGAACTAAAATAAAATGCATATACTTGGTGTTTATGAATGATGGTATTTGCCATTGCTTTGTCATACCAAGTAATCAAGTGTTACTCATCAATCAAAAAAAGTGGGTTTGCTTTTTCTTTTACTTTTTGGGAGGCTAATACTCTCCTGCAAGGAGTAAGGACGTGGGCTTGTGAACTATAACAGTCCACAGAATCCCGTATTTTTTTTCAATGTGAAACGGTAATAAAACTTTCCTGTTAAATTGGTTTCATTTCTACACTTCCCTGGGAAAAACGATGGATGGAGAAAGTCTGCATGTAGGTAAAGAAGTTAACAACCTCTTAATCGCTTGTCAGAGAAGCTGCTTCCTTCATAGTTTTCATTTTTACTTATGCACAGGATTTTTTTAGCATTTATGCTGCAGTTTAAAATCTTAAACATTTTATTCTGGCATGAAACTATGTTGTAGACTATTAGTCATCAGGTGTCAAGTGACATTAAATGTGGAGCACCATCCCACAAAAATAATCCATTTGATATCATTAAATTATATAAATCATTTGCAAACATGAAATGCCTTAAAACATGGGAAGGGGTAAATAAAAGATGATGTAGAATACACAGAAGATAAAATGAAGGAAAATGGAGAAGTATTTTGAAAAAACCGGAAGTTACAGGAGGAATTATGTTTCTTTAGAAAGGACAGATCATAATAAAGTATTATTTCTCCTTTAACCTGCATTAACAGATCCAGAGATCCACCAACAGTGTGATTTCCTGACTTGAGAACAACTGAGAAATACCGAAAACCTACCTTCCATAATATAAATGAAAGCAGCAAAAACAAGGTAACACCAACTATTAAGCCTATTCCAATAATTAGCACAGTAACACGGTATTTTGGCTTTTGGTGGTGCACTCCTTCCAAATAGACCTGGAAAGCAGAAAATAAGTTGAGTGCTGACTGATTCCCCCTTCCCCCCCCTCCAAAAGATACTAAAACAAACTAGGAAAATTAATTACGTTCTTAAGTAATTAACACTATATTCATTGCCTGTGTATAGATATGTACAGAATTCCACAATTTTAATTGCTGTTGGTTTTTCTACTTTGACAAGTTTATCACAAATTCATTAAGAGAATTCTTACATATGTAACTTGTTTGTCCTTGTGTAGTTCAATAACTTTTGCATTTTTTTCTGGTGAGGCTGTTGCTCTTACTTCAAACTTCAATGCTGATGCATCATCCTGATTAAAAAAAAAAATCCTATCTTTTAAAAAATAAAATCAACACATTAATTTCTACCCAGCAAAAACGGTAACACAGCCGCTCAGAAACAGAATCTCACACAAATACACAATGGGGCCTTTTTCTGATCACAAACCAAATTAGTACCAGAAGCTGGAATGAAGCCCAGTTGGATTTTACTTAAGTCCACATCCATGCTGCTTTTCTTAGAAAAGTACAATTATCAGTTGAAATTAAATCCCAATCCTACATAACCCAGCCAGAATAGGCAAAGCCATACACACTATAAAATAGCGATAATCTAAAATACGTATTTTTCAGTTTTCATATATCACCTTGAGACTTGGCATTGAAAACACAAAATAGGGAACACCTAAAAGATTTGGATTTAATCATCTGTTTGCCAAAATATATTAATACCTAGAATTTATATGCAGAGAATACTGCAAATATGCCTTGAAATATTCCCCCCAAGTATGAAAAATTCATGCGTTACCATTTCTAAAAGCGAAGGAGTAGCCTCCAGATGCAACTGAACGGTTGCTTCTTTTCCACTTTCCATGTTTCCAAGCTTGCAATATATTTGTAAGCAAAGGCTGTCATTTTTCATGCAGTACTGTAGAAGGGAGGGAAAGATTAAAACTTAAGTTTATCAACTTCAGCATCTTGGTATTAAAGACACTCAGGAACCGAGTAAAACAAAAAGATCCATGTTTGTTCTTGAAAAGTCAGGGTGTAACTCTAGGTTGTCATCCATCCCTGTCAGTCCATAGGTGCTAAAGGAACAGTACATCGTTATAGAAGACAACAGGTCATTTTTCTTAAAAATTCAATTTTTCTTAGACTGAAAAATAACAATTGTCATAATTTGGTTATATGGTTGGTTTTTTTTTTACACTGTTATTTCAAATTAGCTTTTATCAAGAGTGATAAATGACAATGACTATATGATATCTAGTATAAACAGTGTACTTGGTTGATCCTTACACTTGTACACGGACAGCTAGCACCATTTCACTCAGCTTTGGAGAAGACAAAAAAGCAAGCCGGTACATGATTATATTCTTTGTCCAAGACTGCAACGCCTAAGTTCTGATTTGATATTCTAGTGCAGGCTGTCTCTCAATCATTGGTTGATGTTCCTTGTAACGTGCTTAATCAAAGTTCCAAATTAACATATTTTAAAATGTCCAGCTTCTTTTAAGATGAAAGTATTAAACAAAATTGTACTTTATCAAACACAAGTTGCAGGACATGGAGATTTCTAGGAGAACAAACCCTCAAAAATGTAACACTAGAATAGCAATTCTGGTTTGGACTACATAGACAAGTATCTGATCTCCAGCAGGGTCCATAAGCAGGTACAGAGGGACGAGCTTGAACAGGCCAGGCATGTACGATATTCTCCCAGCCTTCCAGATATTTTTAATAAGAACTTCCCGAGCCAAAAATTATTGCCATATATTTTGTAATTCTTATTGACTTTCAGTCCCATTCACTTGTATAGTCTCCCTTGGAATCCACTTATTTTTAGCATTCATAACACCCTTCGGTAAGAAGTTCCACCAGGAGCACTACTTTGGGTTTTGGTTTTTTTTTTTAACCTGGCTCCTATTAGTTACATTTGATGGCACTTTTTTGATGTGGAAAAGGCAATGAATATTTGATCTGCATACTTCATGTAATTAAAATTAAGACTGTTTTTCCCACATGCATCATTTTCAATTTGTTACTGAATTTCATCTGCCATTCTGTTTGCCCGCTCATTCAGTTACATAACCCTTTGGCAGCTCTTCGTAGGTGACTGTCATCCACGCTGACTTCAGTGACGTGTCATTAATCAACTTTCTCACCTCTTTCACTAAAGTCATTTATGACTATGCTGAACTTATCACCGCAAATCCTTGGAAGACTGCTCTAGTGACCTCATTATATAACATACACCGTTGTCTTAAGGCTCATTCATACAGTCATTTATTTCCCACTGATGTCAAAAGACAGACCTTACCATTTGTCTCTTAGCAGGCTTTGAAAAGAAAGTGACAACATCCTTTAATATGTTTTCGGTTTTTTCTGCTGCACTACAGTTTCTGGGATATCTATTATAGGAGCACTGTCCAACTGTTGTCTGGAAATAAAAGTAACACAGTGTAGAATTTAAACATCAGATAATAATCAGAATACAGATTTCTGAAAGGCAAGAAGCTCAAAAGGAATGTGAATTTTACTTTCAGAATTCTAACACACATGGGGCTGAAGATCAACCTATTCTCGTTCACTCTGCTTCACCATAGCTAACAAATTGAATGCATGCTTAGTACCTAGTTCTGCCGTGCTCTGCTTCTCTTTTTCATAGAATTCATATAGCTAATAAAATTATATTGAGTAACCTGTGCTTACCTTGATATCCAATGTGTTGAACAATTTGAAGTCATTGGGTGGAAAAGCATTAGGTATCATTATCTCTAAGTTTGTATTTGGAGCCATGCCTGGTCCTGCACTGATAACCTTGTGGGGAAGAATGTTATACATTTAAAGCTTTAATTCATGGTAGCTATTCAAGTAACAACAACAAAAAAAGTATAAATACATAAAACTTCACAGAACGGGGTGGCACCTGCATTGGTACGCTGTCATGAAAGTGGACTCTGCTAGGAGTTGTAACATTTTGCTCAATTCATTCTGCAGGCTTACTGAACCCTTCGCTTCTCTGAACCCATTGAGTAAGTAGTGCTAATCTGCGATGACTACCCTGAGGTCATACAGACTGCCTTCCGGGAGAATATGCAAAAGGAACTAGGAGAGATTAATGTCTAACTCCTGCTTTTAATCCACTGCAGACAAATCTGATACTTATAGATCCTCTTATAAGGAGCTCCTAGTTCCTTTTGCTTACCGTAAGATAATTCCTTTTAAAGTGTTTCTTAATGGAAGAAGTGGCAAGTCAGAACTGCTTGTGCGAAGTAATTTTTCTCTGACCAGTCAGTGGAAGATTGTCCAGGCCAAAAAAAAATTGTTCAAAGAGGGATTAACAGCCACTTCCCATCACTAATGCACAAAAGTTGCTCACCGTGCCCTTGTACTCTTAAAAAAATTCCCTTACTGACTGTGCAGACTGTCATTAGATACACTGGAAATCTAAGCATTAACCTTCAAAACAAGGATAATAGGGTTTACAAAGAAAAACACTTACATGGAAAGTGAAGTTGATATTCTCCTTCATACACGTAACTGGTGAATCTTTCTCATTTGTTCCATAAACAAATGAAGCTGGTGATACAAATCTACAATGGTTTAGAAGTTGTTAATTAATAGAATTGCTGTGTATCGTTAGCATAACTTTCTGCTCCATGCTACCACCAGTAAGATTGGGTCTAAGAAAATACCTGAGTTTGCGTTTTAGTAAACCTAGAACACTGGGTAGAAGTCCTCTACCTTTGTACTCTTCCCTCTTAAAAAGGCAGACGAATCAGAAAAAGTCATAAATCCTCACCCAAAACTATGTTCCATGAGTGCCCCGCAACAAATCCAGAATATGGTCCATGTTAAGCAAGGCATCTGAGGATCTGCTGTGCTCTTATTAAATACCTCTTTCTATAAAAAATATTCCAGTTCTTAAAAAATATTTGTCTGTTAAGAGACAAGTTTGAAGCACCACAGATATCCTTGGTCTCATCTCACAGTAGTGGAAACAAAATCTTAGAAGTGTAGCTGTGTCATCTCACCCCGAGGATTTTTCAGCGACATCACGCTTCTGCTTAAAAGCTTTGGGAATTTGGAATAGTAACAAGACAACAGTTCTACGGATGTGCAGGTATAGCAATAGCTGGCTTACTTACCCATGAACATTTAACTCGACCTCGTATTTCAGAGGTACAGCTAAAGTTAGTGTATTATCCAGCAACATGTTCCCATCTTCATTTTTACTATAAAAACACAATGAAAGAAAAATGAGTATCGAATGCATCATCATATGCTAAGCATTATTTCTATAAACAAATATTAAACAGACCTTTTGGCTTATTAAAACAAAAATGTTTTATTAGTAACAGGCAGTTAAAAAAAAAAAAAAGGGCATTTTATACAGGGAGAAACCTCCTCATTATTTAAATATCTATTACCTGGGTCCTTTCTAATTTCCCTTTCTCTACAGATTTGCAACGGATGTGCTTTCTTGCAGTTCTGCTTTGCTAAGTCCTTCCAGTGTTCCCTATTCTGTTTTTCAAAGCTAGTAATATTTTTCATTGAGTAATTTTTATTAGACTTTACCAGGTAGCATTAATGATGATGTTGAGGTCATCTTCTGCTCTGGTAAACGAGCTTGCATCCAAGAGGAAACTAAAATCCAGCTGTAGAACAAATAAGATTTTCTTTATATCAAATGATAGTGTGTCTTAACACAGTTTAAATAAAAATATTTTATTAAACTCATTTAGAATTTCCTGCTCTGAAAAAATTCAGAACTAAGAAAACACTTGCTTTTTGTGTCTTCTACTCCCTTTCTATTGACCTAACACATTTGTTCCTAGCCTTAGTCAGCTCACTTGTCTAGGAAGCCAAGCACAATCAGTTGATGCATAATACAAAGAATGTTGTCCCTTACTGAATTATTCCAGAAGGTGTTTAAGCAATTAATTTTAAAAGTAGCAGAGAGATTCAGATACCAACATGATAAAAGACGTTAGTTGGGAATGACAGAGAGATTCTGAAAACCAAGGTGTCGTCCCCCCCCGACCCCCCCCCAAAAAAAATCCTCATAACGTATTTCGGGTGTTTTTAAAGCCAGGAACTTCATACATAGCTTACCTTTGATTTTTGATCTACGTATAAATAACCAACGCTGCACTCAAGTTTCACTGCATGAATTTCTTTATCTAATACGTCACAATGTATCTGTTTTTCTTCCTAAAATAAAGGACAAATTATTAATGATTAAAATAAAACTGCTTTTTTCAGACATTTCAAATTACATGCGCACACTGAAATGGGTGGTTTATATTTCCCTGAACTAGGTGTTTGTTATTTCACTGATGCTAATATACAGAATATTCGTATTATTCATGACTACTTTAACATATCCTTATATTGATTACTTCATCTTCTGTTTGCTAATAGTGAAGCTAAGGTGTACGCATCAGACCCACTCAAGTTTAAAGCCAACCTCTGAAAGGTGTCAGGGGGATTCTACACAGAGAGCAGTAATTTTAAAAAGGCAGAAAGAGAGAACAATTAGACTTGTGACTTTTTCATAAGGCTATGTATCTGTGAAAAAGAGCAGATTCAATGAGATCTTTGTGATCACTGAAAACATGATCATCAGACAAAAACTAGCTGTAGTATCCTGAAACACATTTAGAAACAATTTTTTTTTTATTTTAGTTGTTACCATCACATCCTGTTATTGAAATGATTTGAGTCACCTGTACTGATTAAATTGCATGTGGTTTAGGTAGCTAGAAGTCTGAGAACTTAAAAACTGGAGTTTTGTCAGCTTTTTTGCAGGGGGTGTGTGTGTGTGGTGTGTGTAGGTTGTCAGTATCTAAAGAAACTCAACAATCCATTAACAATTTGAAAAATGTCTGGCTGAAAAAGAAAAATATCAAAGGATTACTGTTTGACAGATTTTTTTTGTTCTTACCAATTCTAAAACTCGGATGAAATAAAGACCTTTAGGGATTTGAATGTGGAGGACAGTTTCATATGCATCATCTCCAACATTAAGCAGAGAAACGTTCAACAATAAAGTCTTCGTACTTCCAACAGCGAGATATGTTTTCTTATCATGAGGCCTATAAAAATAATTATCATAATATAAGGGAAAAGTAATTCTATATACAGCTTGTACGCAAAAGTTTTCTGCCTCTGCTCTTTTTAGTTAATTTCATTTGGTTCTGACAAAGTTCAGCTGGAGATCATTAGGAAAGTTTTTACCCAGTCCTGTAACTGCAGGTACTACCCCAGTTGTATGATGGTCAACTCCAGTATTGTACTTTTTAAGGCTGAGGTTATAAATGCGAGAGCAAGAAAATTGTTATCAGACCAGTCGTGCTTCTGGCTTTTACAAGACGAGAATAGCAACGTGCTGCTGCTACGGTATTTTCAGACATTATTTCAAAATTCACCCTGTGTACTCAAAGCATAGGACTGAGTTAATATGAAACAGGTCACAAAGAGGGCAAGTGAACATGCCTGTCTTACGATCTATGTAATGTTCTATAATCGTGTTACAAGTACAGACACCCTATGGGGGGCTAAAAGTAAACTTCAGCGTGACATTAAAGTTTAATTAAGACTTGTAGAAAGGCTGCCTAGAAGTAGACATTTATCAGATATTCTGGCTTGAAACCAAAGCATTAGTCACTGAACACCTTTGGGAAAGAAGATGGCACTTTGAAAAGCAACAGAAGGTAAAAGCACTGCATAAGCAGATTGGTTCCAAGACAAAAGCGAATTAAAGAAAAACACAATGTTAATCAAGCCACTGAAATGTTAAGTTTAGGTTGAATTTTAAAGTTGTTTTACTAGTTACATGCTTACCATTCAGTCCTCTTACATGCACTAAAGCCAAGCTCATTAACAAGATGCTGTCACGAAGATGCCTCCCAGCTTAACACACAAGTACACAAAAGCACCAGGTGCACATCTGGGACTACAGCAAAGCTGAACTAGAGCTTTTCCCTGGTCATCGTATTTCATTCTTCATTAAAAAATGCATGATGCGGACTAGAAATTTACAGAGCAGGCCAAAATCTAAGCAATTTAAACAAAACATGATAGTGTATACATGAAGACTCATAACTCGGTAAGTAAAGCATTACATTGACGCCCCTATTTGATTTCATTCTTTTAAGACTAAAAGTGGTTGCTTTGCTATTCAAGGATAATGAATGCATTCTGTCTAGCCAAAATAAGTTAACGCTTCACAGCTAACTATTTTTTAGTCGAGATTCTAGGGGCACAATGTAATTTAAGGTGATACTTCACACTTTATCAAGATATTTAGCCTATTTATTTACACTGAAAATCTGCTACTGGTACCTAATGCCAAGCAGGTATGTTGCAATCTGTTTTCCCTTCTGAGAGCTTTGTAATACTTAGAAAACCGCATTGCTAATGTCATGAATGGAAATGCTGCACAATCCTTCTTTCTGAAAAGTTTATGATTGTTCAAATAAAATAATCTTCAAGCGTGAGAAAACGAAAGGGCTTAAGGCTCATGCTACAGGCCACGCGTTAAAGTAGGCAGAAAGACGCTAAGCTTATTCTGAAATCTGTGAAGATGAAAAAGCTTGTGCTTGGGATCACACAGGTGTGATTAATCAGCATTATGTGATTGTCATCGTTTTTCAGTGTCATTTTAGGTTGTTCAACCTAATACCTTGATTAAAGTAGAATCAACTTTAAAAGTGATAAATTACACGAGAAAATCCAGGTCATACGCAAAATATCTAACTAGCTGGGATTCACAACAGGTACAATTTCTCTTTTTGCACACCAACAACCCATATTTCTTGCTTTGAAGTATAATATTCAATAAAGAAAAAGGTTGTGATGATAAAATATAACTTAAAATCAAATCATTAAAATCCATCCTGAATAGAAACGATGGTACATGGCTTAAAACCTTCCAAATAGAAGTATATCTCACAAAGTATTGCTTGGTGTAATACAGATTCTGCAAGACAATAATAATTGTATTTAAATACGTTGGAAGTGCATTAATTATCTTGCATAACAACAGGATTTAAACATGCTACCTAATTGGAAGGAATGGGAAAAACTGAAAGATACTAAAGGGTATATCCAAAAAAATTAGGCATGTAAATGAAAAAAGTCACAAAACAAAATTAATTTTGGAAAATGCAAGCTAATTCATATAGGGAAAAGAAGTCTAAACCTCACATAATACTCAACCATCTGGTGTCTCAACCAGCAGTATAAAACGGAAGATGTAATATTCTGAAGTAAACGAGGAAAAAGAACCACTTAATTATTTTATAATTGAAATAATAAATATAACAATGTCAGTACAAAACTGAAGTATCTTTGTACAGTGCAAGTACAGTATCTTCACAAGAGCAGCAGAAATAACTGATAGCTTGTCAATTTAACAGTAGTTGTGATGTCTACATATTGAGTATGCATTGTGCACTTTATCTTAGCCCAGTATATATGAAAAGTAGAATACAAGTTTACCTTTTTGTGTAGAAGATACATTTTATGAGCTGTAAAGTCTTGTAATTATGCAAGAACAGTTCTTCAATTATGTACATTTCTGTTACATTTCCTGGAAGATCTACGATTTAAAAATATCCTCCAACTAAACACAGGCTGTAAAGTTGTAATTATGCAAGAACAGTTCTTCAATTATGTACATTTCTGTTACATTTCCTGGAAGATCTACGATTTAAAAATATCCTCCAACTAAACACAGCTTTACTCCTCGTATTTTCTCAGGGAGTCCATAGTCTACTTTTGCAAATGAATGTTCTTTACGTACAAAAGATTAAGGAATCATTTAAATAAAATCTTATTGAACCTCTTTCAAAAAAATGAAAGCCACATTACACTTACTTTGGAAAAGCAACTTTTCCAGAAACTCTCAAGTCAGCAGAACAATTTTCTTGGGAGCAAAATCTTGCAAAAATAAACTATAAAAGAGAAATTAAAAAAAAGGCACTTTAGTGTATTATGCATATTATAGTGAATAAAAGTATTTCCAAAGAAAGAAACCTATCACCTTGCTACGAAGTATCTGGAATTGACTAATAGCTCTTGCTCCTAAAAACAATTCAATCAGGCTATGATTTGCCATTTTCCAAGCACATTCCGCACACCCAGAATAACAACAGAGAGGCTTTCCAGACTCAGTCCCTCACAGTTAAACCAGTGGGTGGATGTTCAGCGGATTTTTTAAAAGTAGTACCTAAAAAGGGCAGAGTGTTTTAGAGGACCCAGAACTGAGGTCTCTGCAGACTCTCCTATGATACAGCACATTAACTTTTACAAGAGAGTTTCATTACACAAACTTTACTTATCATACAGTTAGTAAGGTTTGATGAGACTAGAGGCACCATGAGTTGCATGGGTCCGTGCCTTGGTTATCAGTATGCTATAGAGCACATTTATGTCACTACATTCAACGACACCCTCTTTCTCTCTAACTGTGGTTTCTAAAACAAATTTTGAATGAAGATGAAAAGGAAAAGCGTGCCATTTAAAAGGTGCTTTTATATATCTCAGAGTTCTGATCGTCAACTGTATCTGAATTACGTGAAACTTACTGTTTGTGAAAAGTTGTAAGATGTTTATGAGCATTTGGTAGTTAAAAATTCAGAGCATCCTGACTTTTGCTTAAGTCAGAGTAAAAGTCTATTAACTCATTAAGTAAGTTGTTTTGGGGAAAAAAAGTTAATTTCATACTCATTTAAGCAGATACTTAAGCAACATCATTGAAACACTTCAAGATTAATACCAACACGATATTGTATATTTAACACAGAATTAATTTTAAAGAACAATTTTATACTGGAAAGTGACTCATCCCGTGTAGTTGAAAAAGAATGAATACTTCAAAGAGTGAATTTCATACCTGTGTGTTCTGAGGTGTATAATATTACATATTCTTGCAAGTTCTCTGCACATACCTCTTTTTTTTTTTAAGTCATAATACAAACTGTATACCAGCTCTGCAAAGATTTTTTTTTTTTAGCGAAAAATTAGGCATTTTTTAGCATGCTGGTTTATTAATTAAGATCAAGGCACTAGGTGCTGGTCTGGAAAATGCGTTCCTTCACATGCTATGGATGTGTGAAGCTTTTTTTCACTTAAGATTAAAACATGAATATTTACTTACTGCATTTGGAAAAAGAGAACTCATACACTAACCTTGCTTTTTATAACATCTTTTTCTTTCCTCCGTTGAAGAACGGGTTGAAGTGGTGAAAATTCTTGAACATTTCTTTTCTGTAGAATGTGATGCCCCAGATGATAACTTGCTTCAACATGTACAGGAGTCAAGATATCCCTTACATCTTTCTATGAAAATTTGAAACCTAATGAGTTAATCATATAAGACAAGACATGTATGCTTACGTTTTAAAGATTACGAGGTTCCCTAGAACTAACTTAAACAGGAACGCTTATTTTTTACATGTAAAATAACTTCATATGCCATATGGCTCATATACTTTTCCAGACATCTTTGTCGCTGAAAGAGGTAGTCAGAAACGCAGAAAAGCATAATACATTCAATGACAGCATCAGGCATTTCGGAACGGAAAAATCTTTTATTAAAAGAAGCCTTATTGAACGGTGAACCTATTTCTGTCAATAATACTGCCTCACACACCTATGAAAAGCTGTACTGCCCAAATAGAAAAATAGGGAAAAGTTGGCTAAAATGGAGAAAGTTAACCAGTGGGATAATGCCAGAGAAAACCCATGGGTATTTCTGTATGAAATCAAAAGGAGTTCTCCCACAGTACCACTAAAGCAGGTCATGACTGCGTTTTATTTTTCTGCCTCTTTATTTCTTATTCTGTATTAAAAAGATTAAACTCCTCAATAAATGACCATTTTGTACACAAAGGCTTGACTGTGTAGGAATGTTGCAGATCAGAGCCCAAACTACCTACTTGTGAAAACTGAACAGCTTGAAGCACCGAGTACTAACAATAGCAAACCTAATTAAATTATTCCCTAAGTGTAGGAGATAGACAGACACTGATTGTCCCTCCACATGGCCAGTACTTTAATTCTTATCTGCAAGCTTGCTTTGGCCAAATCACATATTATCTAATTCATAATAATTTTCCACAAGGTCTTCTCTGCATCTGCTTTATATTACTTCCATTATACTAATTAGCTATTAATTAGTCTTTACTCAAAATACATAAAACGTATATTGTCTCTTGCAAGGACTGTACTTGACAGACATTCACACTTACTTAACTTTAGGAGCTTCATACAAGTACAGAAACCTCAATGGGTGGAAGGAGATGCTTATAATGCTATTAATTAAGAATTAAAAAGAAAATTGAATTATATGGAGGAAGAAATACTAATGATAGACTATAGGAAGTGATGAGCCAAATCATATCCTTCCTCCTACACAAATACCTGCTGATGCTGGTACAGCAATCTGTACAAGGTCAGCTGTCAGTCAGATCTCTCTTAGCTTACAAAACTCTTCTAAGTAAGTGGCAATTTGCCATTGCTCCTGTAAGTAACATTCGCTTAGGTGCAACTACCAGTTGAGATGCATCTGGGCAATTTTCCAGTAGGTAACATAAGCTTTCCTTTTTACCCCAAAGCTTTATCGTGAAGAATTGGCTTCTAATGGTGTCATAAACAAAAAATAAGTAAAAGGAAGGAAGAAGAAAAATACACGGATGACTTTTTCCCTGCAGATTTTTTTGTAGCTGTAGAAAATTAAGTCTATTTCCCAGCCTCTGTGCAGGATTAACTGCACCCATCATCCTAATAGATGCTTGTTTCAAAAGGTCACAGAATTGCTACCTCGAGGATTTTAAAGAAAAGGCTAGGCAAACTAGTCCATTATTTTATTACCCTTGTTTCCCCTTACTTCTAAATATTCCCTGTCCTTAGTATTTCTTTAAAGAATTCTTTTCCCCCTTAGATAAGGTCTTACAGGACATAAGTCTATTTTTTCTGAATTTAGTAAAACACGGTTCTTCCGTGTCCGCTAGTTTTTATTGTTTGATTGTGGTTTAGGACTTCAAGTTCTTCCCATTTATTCTCCAAAATTTTTGTTGAAATAGGCAAGCTTCCAAGGTGTTTGATAGACTGAATCACTTTTATTCTTTCTTGTCCAGTGAATGGCCTTAAAAATATTATATCCTTATCCTGATTGCAGTTGTTTTTACTTTCAAGACAGGTCCCTCATTCACCCTTCAGAGGGATACATCAAGCACGAACACGACAGTTCATTTCCTCCAGGGCAACAGTGACTTTGAGACTACTATTGCAGTTAGGATCTTACTGACTAGATCCTTACTAACTTATTTCCAAGTCAGTACCGTCCTCAATTTCAAAGGATGGTTGCTGTTGGATCAAACTCTATTTCTGGAGAAACCAACAGCCAACTTCCTCCTGCTGAGTAGCTGGTACCGTCTATTACTGGTGTTGGTACAGGCCTCCCTGGCTAGCTGACACCTTGCAGGTCTCCAACAGCCTCCTGCTGGAGGACGCTTCTCCTCTGAAGCACTTCTACCAGCAGATTCCTTCTACAACAAAGTTGTCTCTACACTTTCACAGACAGAGAACTGTAACCACAGTCGCTACTGATCTGGTCCAGGATTCAGGCTGATATGTCCAGGAGAAAGATGTATCTGTGCAGGCTTCACTTTTGTGAGCAGAGAGATCACTTTGTCAGCACATTGCACATTCTTCATATTGTTCAGCTCTAAATTCATTCATAAAACTGCTGCGAGTGCTCTTCCTACCCCGTTTCTGCCTCTTGATTGTCTGAGTATTTCCCTTGGTGAGTGCTGCATTCCTTGCAGGGAAAAAAAAAAAACAATTCCAAGCAAGTGTTCTTGTTCATGCCCTGCTAGCCTTTGGCTCCTTGCAACAAATTCACAAAACAGACCACACTATAAACCTCGAACTACAGACTCTCTTCTGGCAATCATCTTCTTTTCACTTCCGGTTCTTTTCTTATCAGGTGAGTCTACCTCATCTACTCACAGTAAAAAAGGGAGCAAGACCATACACGTGTTCTTTGAAATAGTTACAAATGACAAAACATAATAAACATTTTCTCTGTGTAATTACAAGTTTAAAAATTTTGCATTAAGGAGTACATAGGAAAGTTCCATCAGAAATGTTCAGCAGAAAATGTATGTTATACCGTTTCTTCTTGGTTGCTCCAAACGGGCCTCAATCTATGATCCGTCATCCATAAAAAAGGGTGAAAAAATGTCAAGAATGCTCACTTCGTCACTGTGATTATTATTATTATTATGCATTCTCACTGACATAAGAGATGGCAGACCCACTGACTTCCCCACAGAAAGCTAAGAAATCATCAGAATTAAAATATATTAACTGTGGAAGTTATGAACACAAATATTTTACTTCCAAAATGATGTGATGCAATTGAAAACAAAATTGGTTCTATTGCAGCAGGTGTGCTTTTCAAAGGAGAACAAAGGATTTACAGGGCAATACATATTGAAAATTACATTACCCTCATAAATGCTGGATGATCTTTGCAGGCAATATTCTTGCTGTAAATCATTACATTTCCTGAGATTGTATCAGATGTTCCATTGGAGGAAAAATAAAATCTTGCTTGTGTATCCACTTTTCTGTTCACGTCAACACTCAGATTATAAAGCAGTACTGCAAAATAAAACCCAGGGAAAATAACAGTTATAAAAACTTTAAATGTTATAATTTTCATGAATTTTATGATAGACATTACATCTTCTGACTCACTTCCTTCAGTACGTCCCGTAATATTAATTCTGAAATGCTCTGCTTAAAAATTCTCTGACACAAATCCTTACCTAACAAAAGCTTCAAGCCCTCTGAAAATTGATTGCATCATGACTGATCACTGATACGTGCTTTTACATCAGGGATAGTTTTGTCAAGTTGTATTTATAATTTTCTATTAGAATCTATTTAAAGAAAACCTGCTTCAGTTACTTACAGGG